GTATACATCGCATTTCAAACAGCCACGGTCACCAAGCATCCCCTTGTAAGATATCACTCCTGATTCACGTCTGAGAATTACCGAAACAATTTTCGCTGATTCCGAAAAGTGTTGGATGCAGAACATACACGGCTTGTCATCTAGTGAAATGATGTTCCAAATTTTTTTTAATGAAGGACCCACAACATTTCAATCACTTCATTCTGTTGGATTCTTCCTTATTCGGCCACTCAACGCATCGTAACCCTTCAGTTAGCCTAGCTAAAGAACTTCTTTGAAAAGGAAAGGTCAAATCAACAAATCTTTGAGTTTTCTTTTCGAAAAAATAAGTGTTCGTCAAGAGGCCTTCGAAAAAACTCTTTTATTCAACATAAAAAGCCTATAAAACTTCTGAATAGAAAAAGAAACAAACAATACCAGTGCATAACACACTCAAATCTCGTAAGTAAAGCAATGATATATCAAAATTAGTGTACTAGTACAATAGACAATTCACAAGAACCAGTCAATGAAATATGTCTTTCATATAATCACAGGTTATTTATTGTATTGTACAGAATTTATACAGTTCATAACGAGAAGAAAGATAGGGAGATAAGAAGCTCATTGGCTAATTAACCGTAATTGGACATATTATTGTGCAGTCACGGACTGCTCATCATAATCGCACCTCATCAGCTTTGAGATCATCCGACGAGAATTCGTGTACTTTATTTGTCGCTTTTTTCTCTTTAGGCATACAGGGTAAGTAGTTTATGAAGGGGATCTGGAAAAAAAATTTTCAGATGAAATTTTTATTCAAGGTAGAGATACCTTATTCAAAAATTTCATAACTAATGGTGGATAGCAGTACGTATCATCATCCATCGCAATTTCGTGAATAATTCCTCGAGATCGCAGACCTCGCTGTTCTCGCGTAGCACCTAAAAATCCGCTTTTCTTAAAAGAATGTAAGTTTACCTTTTTCCTAAATCAATCTCTTCCTTTTCAGAATCTTAAGTCAGTGGCGGTCCAGGAAAAATTTTGAGAAAAATTACGAGGAATTTTTTTTGAAGGAGGGAGGAAAAGCCCCGACATTTTAGCTTCCTGGGCCCGCCACTTGTATAAGTCTATTTTGTGCAGATGAATTCAATTTGTTCAAAGCAAAAATGAATTTTTTCTATAAAAGATAATGCATTTCATTAGAGAAATCCTCTTTGTAGCAAAAGCCATATCGTACCTCCATAATTCAGGACGAAAATTCTCTACGAACCCACTTTTTGTTCAAAAATTCTCACCAAAAATCATGAAAAGGGGCGTTGGCTTTACGGAACGAAAATATAAACGTTATGACCTTTACTCCTCACAAATAACGTTCAAAATTCCTCCAAATATACCGAAGACCAGGCATCACGTAATAAAAGCTTTAATTGTAACGTTTGAAACTTACCTCCAACAGTGTTATCCAGAAGACATGCGCACAGCGCTCCGATAAACATTTGTAATTGTAGCAAAATATTCAAAATTTGATCTAGCATCAGGAAACCTGAAATTGCCAGTTTTACACTACAAAGTTTTGACTTAAGAATAAAAATTGAGAGTATACCAGTGTATACGGGATATCGTCGGAAATATTCCGGAACAATCATTCCAAACAGCATGGAGAAGCCAAGGATTCCCATATTTCGTGACATGGTCATATCCACCTGTAAAAACATTTTGTGGTATTACGTTTCACAAAATTCAGAAAAAAATGGTTATTGCGGAAAATGCAAAGAAATCATGGTCCCTAAACACATACATATTTCTTCTTGAAAAAAACTAATCTGAAGGAGATCTTGAGCAAAAACTAGTCTATGGAAAAGTTGAGCAAGAAAAAAATAAAATTGGCTAAAATCGCGATCATGAATTTCTAACTCAAAGCAAATCTTGTAAAGAAGCACATTTGCCATGTATGCTTATTCAAAAATTTGAATGATTTTTATTTCCGCGTTCAAAATTGTAACGATTATTACCGTTTGCAAATTCGACACAGCTACACCAACTACCATAGCCATTGATGATGCTAGAATTCCACCCACTAGCGGATCAGGAACTGTAGATAAAATCGCGCCAATCTACAATGTCCCTTTTGAAGCTTCTGAATTTCGAGAAGGTACTTTCTTACCTTTGTGCAAACTCCTAAAGCAATTAACAACACTCCAGCAACGACCATTGTCCATCTAGATGCTACCCGGGTCACCCCGATTACACCAATGTTTTCCGTATGGGTAGTCATACCTACCGCAGGTCCAAGGAGCCCAGAGATGAACGATCCCATTCCTGAATGTGCGAGTGATTTTCATCAATATTCAGGTGGCGAGATCTGGTCCCCAAGCAACTCACCCTCGGCAAGAATGCCCCTATTGATAGCATGACTTGGTGGAGCTCTTTCCATAGACATTCGAGCTGCTGCATGATAGTCACCAACAGATTCGAAGACGGAAGTCATGGCGGAGAGGAGGAAGGCGATGAAGAGACTAACATTAAAAGTGGGTGGGCCAAACTTGCCTAAATTTTCGCCGATCAAGATTAAAGATCTGCGAGAACTGGTCCCCGATCTGCTTAATCTGCTTACCCGGATACGGTACCGCTATCCAGGCTGAATTTTTGATCGCTTGAACTTTGTGCGGTATATCAACACGTGCTGGGCCACCTCGCTCCGTGAGATCGAATAACGTAAGAATTAAGCAAAAGCCCCATGAGAGTGCTATAGCAATGAGGTACTGTAAGCAGGTGGTATATGTCTTACCGTAAACCTACAGTAAGATGCTCCCAGCACAAAAACCAACCGGGTATTGCCCAAATAAATTGGTTCTGTACCAGTGTAGCTTGCCATATTTGATGCCGGGTAGTGGAACTAGGACATCAGCCAAGTAAAGAATTGTGATGAATAGTGTGATGGCTTGACTGAAAATTATTACTGT